ACTCATCATAAATCGACAGATATATACAAAAAAAAAAAAAAAAGAAGGACATAGTCCTCTTTTATTTTTATTTTTATTTTATCTGTTGATTAGGGTCGGAGGAAAGCATTGTTGGGTTGGTTACCTCCCTCCGTTTTCCCTCCCACCCACCCCTTGCATGCATCCCGTTTCGGTACAGTGCCATGTCAGCAGTGCCAGATCAGCAGTGCCACGTCAGCAGTGCCAGATCAGCAGTGCCACGTCCGCAGTGCCAGATCAGCAGTGCCACGTCCACAGTGCCAGGTCACATTGCCATGTCAGACATAGTGCCACGTAAGCAGTGCCACGTCAGACACAGTGCCACGTCAGCAGTGACGTTCAACACAGTGCCACGTCAACAGTGCCACGTCAGCAGTACCACGTCAGACGCAGTGCCACATCAGCAGTGCCACGTCAGCAACATGACGGGCCTGCCAGGCCAACTGGCCAATGAGACCATTGTCGCCTACAAGCAGCGTTGCCTGGCTCAGATAGAGGCTGAGGAACAACGCCTGCTGCCAGTCGAGGCTGCCCGCATACAAGCTGAAGAGGCAGCAGCAGCAGAGAAACTGCGGCTACAGGCCGATGCAGAAGCAGATGCCCAGGCTCGCCGAAAGGAAGCCCAGGATCTGCTGCAGCGGCATGAAGCCAACAGCATCTACAGACTCAAGTACTGGCATTTTAAACCGAACGGCGACGACGCAACACCGGAAGAAAAGCACAAGGGGTTCCTCTCCAAACTCGTGACGCGGTTGTTGTATGCTTGCAACTATCAAAGGTCAGAGTTGGAGAGACAGCACCAAACAGCATCAGGAGTTGGCGACGCTCCGCCGCACAGTGCAGAGCCACGAGGATGCAACTCGGGCACTCAATGCCCGATTGTTGGACCTGGAACAGGCTGTACCAGGACCAGCTGCTGGAGCTTCCAGCAGTGCACCCTCAAGCCGCCAACAGGAGGACCGCGTTGACCACGTAGTGGCAATGCTCGGCGACATCAGCACCTTCGCTGCGCCGACCACCACCATCAGCAATCAGCTGCATACATTGAAGACCGAGGTCCAGAAGCTGCAGTCGACAAACGCGGACGACAATCCGAAGATGTACAAGATGCCAACTTTCAACCTGGAGAGGTTCGACGACTACACGCAGCAGGATCCCGTCCTCTGGTGGGAAGCATTCACAACGCAACTCAGGATTCTGCCAGTAGCGAAGCACACGTACATCGGCGCCCTGTTCCTGAACTCAAAGGGCGGATGCCAGACCTGGTTGAGCCACTTGGCAAACTCCCACGGCGTCCACGTACCAGACTTGAAGGACGTAATCACATGGGAGGAACAGACACGGCTGTGGAAGAAGCGGTTCATCGTCGACGACGCGCCGGCACTCGCCATCAACCGTTTGTTCACCATGTCACAGGGCAACACAGCAACACGGGACTGGCTCACGGAGTGGCAGAAGATTGCGGCTGTGCCCAATCTGAACCTACCATTCGAGCATCTACGCCGTGAGTTCTACAACAGGTCCTGTGCGGCATTGAGCCAGGCTCTTGGTGATCGCGAGCAGTACTCAACCTTCGCGGAGATCATTGACAAAGCAAGGGAGATCATCAAGACCAATAGGTCAGCTGCACACGAGAAATCAACATCATGGCAGCCGACCTATGTGGAGAAGGTACGAACTGGTCCGCGATAGCAGCACTTCGCTGCAGTCCAGCAGGGCAGTGGAAATAACCCAGCAGCCACTCCAGTATCAAGTGACGGNACAAGTTAAGGGAGATCTGGTCGTGTCAAGACGAGGGCAAGTTGCGAAGAGCTGAACTCGTGACAAGAGAGTTAGACAATCTGTTTAGGGAAGAAAGAGAGATTATCCAGGCGTGGAGATCAGACTTTCTGGAGAGGGTAAAGGCTAGAAGCGTATCACGCAGAGAAACTAGTAAGCGATCTGCAAAAAGCGAGACAACGGAAGACAAAGTTACGCAGGGGAGTAGCGACGGGACATGAGCGGGACAGCACTACACACGACGGATTGGTACTCATTACATGTGGTAGGGAGACTGGACGGACCATTAGTATTAGTGATCATAGAGCTCCAGCTCCATACCAGACTGTGCATAATTGAGGAGGCAGAGTGTTTCCGCCGTGCCCTGCGTGAGGCAAGGGGGACAGGACTTTGGATTGGGATAGAAGGAGGATGGAGGATAAAATACGTACTCCAAGTAACACCCTTCGAAGGGCGGTCTCAGATAAGGGCATGGTAAGAGACGACCAGAGAGGCTGAGAGGTTGAAGATAAGAGAAGCCAGGAAGGCTGGAGAGTTAGGGAGAGTAGTAACAGATGGTGCAATACTCAGGGTGTTAGCCGCTCACAATAGGTACTGGAAGGAAACGATGAAGACTTTAGAGGCAATAGACGAAGGGGGAGGTAGTGAGGACTTTGAGACATTTTATGACATATTGGAGCGGTCGGCGATGAGGTTACAAGTCGTTATAGCACTAACTTACCTCAGCTGTTAGAAAGATGACCTCGTAACCGTTGAGGAGATAAGGTAGTGGAAATAGAAATTGGAAGCTCTTGGAAGGATAAAGGAAGCTAGAAAGGTCGATGGGCGACATTGGGAGACAGTAGAGGGCCTTTAGCGGGCTAACCGATTCAGACTGGGCTAGGAGAACTAGCAAGGAGGACGGAGAGAGACGCTCAAGGACTCTTGAGAAGTGTTGATCAGGAAACATTGGCTAGGTTTGGGATTGGAATCTGTCTCAAGGATAGAGGTCCTATCACGGGCGTACTGTGGATCCGGACAGGCACGGCCTTGTTGGCCGATCCCGAAGGAGAGCTTACTTAGACACAGGGATTCTTGGGAAAGAGAGAGGACACGAGATCTGCGATCGGAACAGGATACTGGAGGTGGTAATCAAGGCAGTCGAGGGCTAAGATTGGAGGCGAATGTGAGTCGTGACAAAGAAACAGGTCCGGGCTGCAGCGACTGTCATAGGGTCGGGCTGTAACAGTTGGCTAGAATACCTATCTGCATCTTCTGGTGGTCCAATGGAACCTGACACGATGGGGCCGACCACGGGCGAAGCGGGAGAAGTGTACAGGACATCGCCCGATCGAGCACTGAGGGATCTGAAGGAACGAATTAGGCAAGAAGCACCGCTGAGATGGGCTGACCAAACCAAAGACGGAGGGCCCGACATGAGAGGTGAACCAGTTGCGATAGAGCCACAGGAGGCTCTAAAGACGGGTACCTCGAGCGGACGACGAGAGACGACGAGGCGGCGCTCCCCCGAGTATGAGCAGAGGGACACCATAACGGATAGGTACAGAGACGACTGGAGAGAGAATTTGAGGGATTCTTATTGGAGGGATAGAGATAGAGACAGAGCGCCGCCCAGGCGAGTCTTCGACCCCCAGACAGGGGAGTCACATCCGCTCCCTTACGAGAGCAAAGACCGCTATATTATTACGCACAAGGTCTCAGAGCCTCCTACCTTCAGGGGCTATGGTATCACAAAATATCTGGAGAAGTGGGAGCTTCACGCCAGCCGGAGTCAGTGGTCGGAGGAAGAGATTATAGAGAACTTCCTATTTAATGTGGACCCAAGT